TTTGTTCATTGACTTGAGACGGAAACGGACGTGTAAGTTGTCCGTGACGGCGAACGCCGATGCACGCCGGGCGCCAGGTCCTAGCGGGTGTCAGTGGAGACGCGCAGGCCCACAGGGGGGATTGGGGGAGCAGCTGGCGCGTCGCACCTGTTTGCTTCGTGACGATCGGGGAAGGAATTCGCTGGCGAGGTCACGTGTGGCCTCCCGGGCAGCAGAGCTAGACACACAGCTCAGACGGACGGTTCCTCTCGCCATGTTCTTCTTCAATAACGCTCCTGTTCCTGTGAAATCCGGCGCTGGGACCATCCCTCGCTGGTGAGGACGGTCTTAGGAGGAGAGGGTGCTCCTGGCCTGAAGCAGGATCACACCTACCAGGTTATAAAACTACCTTCTTAACGCCTGGCTGATAGGGGCATCACATTACAGCTGCCTGACACACAGGCAGTCCTTAGCAACCCTCTGCCTGACACACAAGCAGTCCTTAGCAACCCTCTGCGAGCCCCGTGTTGCCAAAACACTGGGGACTCTCTCCTCCACCTCTGCCTCCAGCCACAGCCTTACCTTCCCACAGACCCCGAGGTGAAACCGGCCCGCACAGCAGTGGACATGGGTGGGGCTCCCTTCCCAGGAGGGCCCCCACCCCCACCCCCGCTGGCTGTGCTGGGGCAGGTCCAGAGAGCCTGACAGGACAGCGGGGGCAGCTGTGGGAGCTGCACTAATTTGGCACCTAGAGGTTAAGAGATTCTGCTAACACCCTGCCACGCAGAGGCCAGCACCCAACAGGCCACAGAGAATGACCCTGCCCCCGCCTTGGCCTGTTGGGCTGAGTGGGTAGAGCATCAGCCTGCAGACCGAGAGTCCCCGGTTCGATTCCCATGGATGTCTCTCTCACATGGATGTTTCTCTCTCCCCCTCCCACCCTCTCCAAAAAAATCAATGGGAAGATTTAATCCTCGGGTGAGGATTAAAAAATAGAAGGATCCGGCCCCAAACGTTAACGGTGCCAGGGTGGAGACACTGCACAGGAATCCCAAAGGAAGGCTGTCCCAGCCCCGTGGCAATGACAACGCTTATAATTCCCACTTAAAACAAGCGCAAACTTTAATTCTACCAACTGGGCCAAGGGGAGAGAGCTTCCCGGTGCCCTGGGAGAGGAGGAGGGGTGAGAGGGAGGAGGAGGCAGAGGTGTGATCAGAGCAGTGATTCTGTGGCAGCAGTGGGTGCTGCCAGCTCAGGAGAGGGGGTCTGGGCTGGGCGGCCCTGCCAGCGGGGTGCTGGGCGGGGACCTGGGTGCCTCTGGCTCAGCCTGTGTGAGTCCCAGGAGGTGGCGGCGGCCGGACCTGGACTAAGCGGACACGGTGGTGGCCTCAGGCTTCAGGTCCTCCGGGGACGGAGGCTGGTACCGCGTGGTCCGGGCTGACGGTGGCCTGGCGTCGGGATGCGAGGCGCCCAGGGGCGGCTCGGGGCGGGCGACGGGGCAGCAGGGCTGCACGAGGAGCAGAGGCCCCTGCCTGGGCACCAGGGGACGGGCCACTCCGCGCCTCCCCACGGGCGCGAGGGGGCTGCGCCGCCTCCGCTTGGCCTCCGGGACCTCAGACCAGAGCGGGCCTTCGCGGCGGGCCCGGCCTTCGCCGCACGGGCTCCGCGCCCGCAGCACCGCGTCCTGGGCGCAGGGGTCGGGGCGCCCCGGGCCCGGGGGGCACGCGGTGAGGCTGCCGCTGCGCTCCGGGGGCGCGATCCGCAGGGTCACCGGGCTCTGCAGGCGGCAGGTGCGGGGCCCGCGGATCCGCAGCGTCACCGCGGCCTTCGGGACCGGCGCCCCGGGCACGTCCCGCCCCCGTGGGGCCAGGCCGGGCGGCGGGGGGCCGGGGTCGCGCCTCCGGGCGGCGGGCCGGGGCGGGGGCAGGCGGCGCGCCCGGGCGGAGGGCCGCAGGGAGGCGCGGGCGGAGCGGAGGCAGCTGCTCAGGTGGCCGCTCAGGCAGCCGCCCATGGCCGCGGGCGGCGGCGGGGCGGCCGGTCGGTCGGGCGGGCGGGCGGGCTGTTTGGAGGTCGCAGAGCAGACGGCGGGGCTGGGCTGACCGTTGGCATCGCCTCGGGGCGCGAGGGCAGCGCGGAGCGTTGGCGCGGGGGGTGGGGGGGGTGGGGGGGGGGATCCGTGCGCGCGGCCCGCCCCTGCGCCCTGAGCCGGGGAACCCCGGGCCCCGCTCCCTGCCCCTGCGCCCTGAGCCGGGGAACCCCGCTCCCGCTGCCGGGCCTGGCGCCGGGCGCAGGGCCTGGGAGGCCTTGGGTCTGAGCTGGACGTTCAATGGGAGGAAACGGCCTCATTCCCACCGGCATCTGGGAAGTGCACGGGACGGGCCGAAGGGCACAGGCCTTGGTGTGGCGGAGCGGGCGCACAGGCCTGCAGGCTCTTTGAGGGAAGACGGGGTCCGCTGTGGCAGCAGCGGGGGCGGGTTTCTTTAGTGATAATGATGTCACAGAATATTCTGTCTCCCATATTTTATTTAGTTAAGGTTGGGGATTTCATGTTTTTGCAGCGGATTCAGTGGGGACACGCATGTCATGTCCGTGTTCACCCATCACGGCACACCTGTTCCCTCTGGAGGCCACGTGCTCCCTCTGAGGTCATGTGCTCCCTCTGGAGGCCACGAGCTCCCTCTGAGGTCATGTGCTCCCTCTGGAAGCCACGAGCTCCCTCTGAGGCCACGTGCTCCCTCTGAGGCCACGTGCTCCCTCTGGAGGCCACGTGCTCCCTCTGAGGTCGCGTGCTCCCTCTGGAGGTCACGTGCTCCCTCTGAGGCCGTGTGCTCCCTCTGGAGGTCACGTGCTCCCTCTGGAGGTCACGTGCTCCCTCTGAGGCCGCGTGCTCCCTCTGAGGCCGCGTGCTCCCTCTGAGGCCGCGTGCTCCCTCTGAGGCCGCGGTTGTCACCCAGGCCGTCTCTCCCCTCCTGTCTCCTGGGGAGGGGAGAGGGAGGCAGGGCTAGCACCGCCGGGGGAAACTTCCCAGTTCCAGGCTCGGGGAGCGGGTGGCCGTGCTTGGCGTGGAGGCTGGTGGAGGCCGCGGGGATCCATCTCCTCCTGACAAGTCCCCCCGGACGGCAGCTGGCTGCGGGGCCGCCCAGTGCCGGGAGGGGGGACGGACAGAAAGGAAAAGCCCGAGCCAGTCACACCCAGGAGCGGGCAGCAGACGCCCAGGCCGCGAGGGGACGGCTGGACGGTGCGGGCCGGAGGCCCCGGGGGGCAGAGGCCGCGGTCGGGAGAGGCAGGCCGGGGCCGGCGGGTGGTGCCCGGGAACGGATCCCGTCTCCCTCACGCATGACTTTTTTTTTTATTATTCCTTGTTAAGGGCTGACCCCAGGTACCTGTGGCAGCATTTTTTCTTAAAGACAATTTTCCTGAGTGAACGCCTCTCCGTAGCTCCCTAACCTGTCTCTTAAGGTGGTGATGGCATCAGGCTACATGGTCTAGCCCAGTGGTCCGCAAATTCATTCGTCAAACTAGGAAAACGAACACCTTGGGTTGAACATAACAAAACATGTGCGGCCCTAACTGGTTTGGCTCAGCGGATAGAGTGTCGGCCTGCGGACTTGGGGGTCCCAGGTTCAGTTCCATTCAAGGGCGTGTACCTTGGTTTCGGGCACATCCCCAGTGGGAGGTGTGCAGGAGGCAGCTGATGGATGTTTCTATCTCATCAATGTTTCTGACTCTCTCTCCCTCTCCCTTCCTCTCTGTAAAAAAAAATCAATAAAATATTTTTTTTAAAAAAAGAATTGAAGCCCTAGCCATCGTGTCAGTATGGCTGTTGAGGGAAACAGTGCCAGCACAGCGCTTGGCACAGACGGTGAAAATATCCCTGGCATTTGCTCAGCACCAGCCTCCAGAGAGGGCGGGGACCTGACTCACAGGTTTTCGGAGTTTTTCTTCCCAAAGGCCAGATCTTATCCACGGGAAAGAAGTGGCCTGGCCAGCCGGTTGCCTGGCGATTGTTTTTCCAAAAGAGCTGCTTCCGGAAGATGCCTGATGAGGTCATCGTCTCCGCAGGAGCAGGGAGGAACAATGGCCCCAGGCAGGAGAGCAGGAGCACAGGGCAATGTTTTCTTCAGCAGATGTACCTGCATCCCCACATCAGAGGGATCCTTATCTTCAAAGCAGTGTAGCCCGGGAGGCAGGCCTCGCTGCAGGGTGTGTGTTTGGAACTCTTCCCTCTCCGTCGCCCTCATCCCTCTCCGTCGCCCTCAGAGCCGGCTTCAGAGTGCTCCCAGGCCAAACACTGTTCTGTGGGAGGCCTCCATTGGTTTGGAAGCAGATTTAAAACCAGCTCTTATAAGTCAGATGGATGATACTGTCACCTCCAGTAGGAGATGACAATGGTGACCAGAAGGAAACAAGGGTTTCCTGGCGACAAACGGTTCCGAGAGGGGCTCTCTCAAACACCTCCGACCGCTGGACGCGGGATCAGAATGAGTGCGTGGTGTCCTGGTTGGTTAACAGGTTTATTCAGCAAAGTTTATTCCACAGAGACTCACAGGAGACCCTGTGCCAAGCACTGTCCTAGGAACTTTTGCACATATCTGTTCATCTTACCTAATGATAGATGAACATGTAAATTGACCATACCTCCGCTATGCCCACAGCCAATCAGGAGTGTGTATGCAAATTAACCCGACAGAGGTGGCAGATTAATTTGCATATGCAGGTGCGGAGTGGCCGGGCAGGGCAGGATGCCTGCTATAAGAGGGAGGCAAGCTGAAAACAGTTTGGCTCAGTGGATAGGGTGTCGGCCTGCGAACTGAAGGGTCCCCGGTTGGATTCCGGTCAGGGGCATGTACCTTGGTTGCCGGCACATTCCCAGTAGGGGTGTGCAGGAGGCAGCTGATCGATGTTTCTCTCTCATTGATGTTTCTAGATCTCTATCTCTCTCCCTCCCTCTCTGTAAAAAAAATCAATAAAATATATATTTTTTAAATGGGAAAGATGACGTCCGGCCTTCTGTGTTTCAGGATAAAAGGAAAATTCAGGAGGAGATCTCCGAGAAGCGCCTAAGGATCGAGGAGGAGAAGCTGCAGCACCAGCACCTCAAGGTACCGTGTCCTCCCCTCCCTCCCAGGGCCGTCTCCGGGCGCCCTCCTGGCCCTCGGGTTTCAACAGGAAGTAGCGTTAGGAAGGAAATAGCCCCGAGCAGCCCCCTTAGCCCCTCCTGACCTCGGGGAGGCCGACCGGCCGGCCATGTCTGCCTTTCCCGGCAGCGTGTGCAGAACTGAAACTGGCTTCTAACCGTCGGCCTTCACTCCGACTTTCCTCCTGTTCTTGGACGCTCTGGCTGGAGGCTGCAGCCTCGGCCCTCCGGCCCAGGACACAGTCTTGCTCAGCATCCCAAGGGGCAGGTCCAGGGAGGAAGTCCCTTTTCAAAGCATGGAAGGCCCGCCCTTCCCGAGGGGTTGGAACCCACCCCGCCCGCCGCCCTCGGAGGTCCCGGGCCTGGAAGCTCTCCCAGTGGGTGCAGTGCTGGCTGAGAATGGTCTGGCTCCTTGTTTCCTTCTCTTTGGAGAGAACATGAGATCATAACCCAAAGAAAGCTCCACTTAAAATCAGACTTTCCATCTCCGTGGGCGTGGCCGCGGTGATTGCTCAGCATTTCCCTGCGTGGCTGAGCAGGCCCGAGCAGGAGCCCGTGGGGCGGCGGCTGCCACCAGCAGAGGTGACGGACCCCAGAGGAGTCTGCCCGCCCTCATGGGCCCACACCCCGCAGTCAGAGGGGCCCATTCGCTGAGCCCATCTCCCTGGTGGAGCGAGGCGCCCCTCTGAGCAGGCAGGTCACTGAGGACCCTGGTGGCCCGGGGCTCGGGCGTCTGTGTGTCTGCTCCTCCGCTCTGGCAGGGGCAGCGGGTGTGAGCCAGGGCCGGCCTGCTGGCCCAGGGCGCCCCGCTGAGTCATTGGAGAGAGACACGGCCAGTTTGCCCGGGAACATCCGGGAATGAGAACCAATTCACCAACTTACTTCACTGCAGCCCGACCCAAGTCCAAAGTCAGACCTACAACCGTTTCTGAGGTGGGCCGTTTCTAACTCCAAACCAGCGCTGTGGGCTCACTGCCCACCCCCCAATCTCTCTCTCTCTCTCTCTCTCTTTCTCTCTCTCTCTCTCTCTTTCTCACACACACACACACACACACACACACACTGAGTGGCCAGATGATTATGCATTCAGAGATCACAATAATCAGGCCACTCAGTGTGTAAGTAACTGGAAAGTATAAACACATATAATTTTTTAACTGCCAAAATGCCGATGACTCCCGTGCCACCTACATTTTCACTGAGTTAATATGCCTTTGATTGCGGGTGTCACTGTGACACAGAGCCCATTATGTTCATTCACCTCGGACACGGAAGTCTACCTCCTGACATAAAGGCAGAGTAACCGTGTCGTTCTGATCGCACATCTCCACGACAGGCTTTCCGTTCAGATGGGACAGGCTCTCTGCCAGAGACACCCAGGCGAGGTGTGGGTGACGCTCCACATTTCGCGCAGCTAAAACAAAAATCACTCTCCCTCCCACCCAGACCGAGAGCCACGGAGGTGGCCAGGCTGCTGTCATCACGTCACACACTCGCTCTCCGTGCACCGGGCAGCGTCATGGAGCAGCCCGTCCCGGTGGCCATGCGGGGACAGGGCTGCCCACGGGGCTGACACTCCCCAAGGGGCAGGGGGGTCCGGGAAGGGCTGTGACGCCCTCTGACAGGGGCTGCCTGTCTGCTTCCCTGCGCACAGCGTCCGCCACATTAAAGTGAATTACGCTCCAGGTGCGTTCTGTAAAAGGCGGCACACCCGGGCCCCAATGCGTCTGGGCCTTGGAGATGAGTCCTGACCTTCGGGGACAGCACGGCCTGTGATGAGGCCTGACCTTCGGGGACAGCACGGCCTGTGTCTGGGAAAACGCGTCCGTGCGCAGCTCAGCAGCTATAATTAGAGGACGCTCCGGCTCCTGGGCGTGTGTCCACCTGCCCTGGAACTCCGAGAGGCCAGTGCAGACACCGTGACCTGGGGGAGGGCTTTGTTTACCTCCCGGGTTGGCAAAGGATGCTCCGTGCGTGCCCAGCTCCCAGGCTGCCCACTGAGCCCGTGGGGCAGGCCAGGCCTCCTCTATGTCACCACTTCCCACCACACCCCCGCCACCAGCGCCATTTTCCAACCACGTGAGAGCGATTGCCTTAAACAACCGTCCTCCGGTAACTCTCCAGCACACCCTCATTTACACTTTTTTAAAAATTCCGACACGTGTATTCCCACCACAGTCATCCTCACACCCTTCTTCCCCGTTCTCGTGGACGGTGAGAGAGAGAGAGAGAGAGAGAGAGAGAGAGAGAGAGAGAGAGAGAGAGAGAGAGAGAGAGAGAGAGAGAGATGAGAGAGAGAGAGAGAGAGAGAGACGTCCCAGGAAATAAGGACAGGTTCTCTTCTGGCCACGAGACTCAGTGGCTCCCAGAGGAATGTGATTGAGCGAGTGACTGACCACCGTGCTAGACACACCGAGGCGGCACTGTGCTTCGGGAGGAAGAGGGGGAAGGCAAACTCGCTCAGAATGCTCTCCGGCCGTTGCCACAGGAGACGCGAACAGGATGCGGGGAAAGCCCCGCCCAAATTCACCAGCCTCTTCCACCCGCTTCCCTCCCCTCGGGCTCCAGCTCAGGAATGCAGTTTTCCCCCTGCAGGTTCAGGGGCATTTTCTATCCTCACGATGAAACAGACATCGCCTTCGTTTTGGGAAAACGGACGAAATTCCAAATCACCACCCTAGCTGGTTTGGCTCAGCGGATAGAGCATCGGCCTGTAGGCTGAAGGGTCTCGGGTTCAATTCTGGTCACAGACACATACCCTCCCTGCAACCATGATCCCCAGCAGGGGGCGTGCAGGAGGCAGCCCATCAGTGATTCTCTCTCATCATTGATGTCTCTCTCTCTCTCTCTCTCTCTCTCTCTCTCTCTCGCTCTCGCTCTCTCGCTCTCGCTCTCGCTCTCTCTCTCTCTCTCTTCCTCTCTGAATTCAATAACAATACTTTTTTTTTTTTTTAAAGAAGGGTGCAAAGAAAGAGAATGCCAGGTCTATTCAGGCAAGGTGGTGAGAGAATGGTTGGAGGCCTGGGGTGCGGGCCGGCTTCAGGAACGTCTCTGTGTCTCCCTCTCAGAAAAAAGCGCTGCGGGAGAGCTGGCTGCTGGATGGGGTCGGCGGCGGCGGGAAGGAGCAGGAGGAGCTGAAGAGGCAGAACCAGCAGGACCAGCGCCAGATCCAGGCCCTGGACCAGAGCATCCTCAGGTAGGCCTGGCGGGGGCCTCCCCAGCCACCGGCATCCTGACTCGGTCCCCGCGCCGCAGGGGGAGAGCCGTTCTCACATGTGGGGACAAGCTCAGATCTTCCGTGTGAGGTTTCCAACGGAAACCAGGGGAGCACCCCTGAGAGGGCGTGGGAATTGTGCCGTACCTGGCACCTGCGCCTAGCAACCGAGAGGCATTCATCCAGTGCATATCGGTGGCTCCGCCTGTGGCTCATCCACAAGACGGGAGCACCGATAACCGTCCTTTAGAATGACGGACAGCTTACAAATCAGACGGGAAGCTAGAAGCACCTGCCTGGCGTGGCAGGTGATCCAGCAACAGGCCTGCGCAGCCCAATCCCGCCCTCCCCTGAGGACAAGACAGCCCCATGGGTGCTTCCGCTGTCCCCCACCCACCCACACACACACACACTGCCCCAGCCTCCTGCCACACCCACAGAGCGGGAGGAGAATGCGCTGCGGGGAGACTTCACAACATCATCTCTCATCGATTTCTCTGATTATTTGGTCCCAGGCGGTGACCTCCCTTCCCAGGTCCCACCCTACCCGGCACACGTGCTCAGTACAGTCGGCAGCTTCTGATCTGGCCGAGCTTTCCACCGTCTGGGTTTACAGTGAGGTGATGGGTGTGGGGGAATCTGAAAGCTCAGATATACAATAGGATTGTTAGTGTTATCACAAAATAGAGACAGCGCGGGAGAAAGAGAGGAGGAGGGGAAGAGGAGGAGAAGGAGGAGGAGAAGGAGGAGAAAATTGTATTTTCTAGCCATAGTGCCTTCCAGGCACTTTAGACAGGGTGTCCCCCCAAGAATATATACACACTTAAACAGCTGATAGCTCAATTTAAAATATATATATATATATGTTTTTTATTGATTTCAGAGAGGAAGGGAGAGGGAGAGAGAAACATCAATCATGAGAGAGAATCATTGATCTCTTGCCTCCTACATGCCCCACCCTGGGATCGAGCCTACAACCCGGGTAATATGCCCTGACCAGGAATTGAACCCTGACCTCCTGGTTCATAGGCTGATGCTCAATCACTGAGCCACGCTGCCAGGCAATAAGGAACTCCGTGATGTAGGAATAGAAAGGGGAAGGGATTTTGTTGCTGGTCATGGTTTAACCAGATTTAATCCTTCTCCTTCTCCACTTTGAACCCCTACATGAGGCTCCCATTGGCCTGCTCAAGCCAGTCTGTGCCTTAATGACAGGAACGGCTCCTCGGCCCCCGCCACCCACGTCCCGCGTCACGTTGTGGGGACAGGGACAAGCCGCTCCACTGTGATCACATGAGCAGGAGAGAGGGGGGGATGGACCAACGGGGAGAACACAGAACACCCACCATTTGTTTCTTCTTAAATTCGCCGTTGCCTAGAAACACTCAAGAAATTAATCCGAGGCGATTACAGGAGTCATAGCCACTCCCAGCATGCTTTTCGCTCGCTCTCGTGTTTAACTCATTGGTTTACCAGATTTGCAGTCATTCATCTGTTGTTGTTTTTAATTCCCCAGATATTCTGATTATTTTTAATTTAGGAGCTTTTCAAATTCAACAAAAGGAGCTAAATAAATTAATTTTCTGGGGAGGGGAGGGGGAAGAAAAAAATCTATTCACCATCCCCCTCCAAAAAAATGCCTCATTACAATGCCTATCACATGGCATGAACATGTGACTGCACAGCCAGTTAAATGAATGAATGAAAAAAAAGAAACGGATGATGAAGAGACAGGAGGATGGACGGATGGAGGGATGGAGGGATGGATGGATAGACGGATGGATGAACTAGGAAAATATCTATGTGAGGGACCAGGTGAAGTCGAGTCAATGACTTGAACATTAATGAACTAAAAAGAAAAGACTTGAAATTCTAAGCTCCTGAAAACACCTCTCTTTATATCCTTTAACTTTTCAAAGTGCTTTTGCATTCAAAACAGTGTAAGGAACTTGAAGCACAAATGTGAGACCCCCCGCGGAGGGGACATAGACCCTGGGCTCTGGATGTGACTTAAGAAGGAAAGAAGGAAGGGGGAGGGGCACTGGTTTCAGTGACCCCCCCCCCCAACTCCTGGTCACAAAGAAAGAAAGGAGCTCAGTGGATAGAGCATCGGCCTGCAGACTGAAGGGTCCCGGGTTCAATTCCCAGTCAAGGACACGTACCTCAACTACAGGCCCTGGTTGGGGTGCATGCAGGAGGCAACCAATCTGTGTGTCTCTCTCACATCCATGTTCCTCTCTGCCTCTTGCCCTCCCTCCCACTCTCTCTAAAATCCAATGAAAAAATACCCCAGGTGAGGATTAACAACAGGAAAAGGAAGTGCGAGGGCAGAGGCTCAAGGCGAGGGAGGAAGGTGTGCGTACCGCGGGGCGCAGGCGCACGCACTCCCCAGGGGAGCTTCCCCTGCTCAGCCGAAGGCCTCACAGCCTCAGTGCATCTCGCCACGTCCACCCGGAGGCAGCTGTTGCTCAGGCCCATGACGCGCGGGCCCTTGGAGGCATCTATGCTGCAGGAAGCTGGCGCGTGGTCTTCAGAGACGAGTGTCCCGCTCTGCGTGTGCAGTGAGCACAGTGCGCCCTGGGGCAGAGCGAACTGGGGTGGCTGGGAACTGTGGCGGCTCTGTTACCCCGGAGAGAAAAACGTGAGGGTGACAAAGCCGGCCATTGTGTCTGTAGAGAGCCAGTGGCCACGGGCATCACCGAGCGGGTGTGTCGCTTCATTATAGGATTACAAGTGGTTCATTCACTGAAAATATTTTCCCTGCCACTTAAACTCAAGGAAAGGAACAGGCTTTCCAAGTTCAAGGGGAAGTATGTGTGTGGCTAGCTTGACACGTCCTGGGCTCCATAGTTGAAGGTCACTTGGGAAACTCCAGCCCCCTGTGCAGAGGGCAATGTGATTACACGTATGTAGGTCTTACTAAGTGCCGGCACGTGGTAGGTGGTTCCCAGCAGGACCTAATCAAAACTCGCACACCCAGCCCTGCCAGCATAGCTCAGTGGTTGAGTGTTGACCTATGAACCAGGAGGTCACGGTTAGATTCCTGGTCAGGGCACATGCCTGGTTGTAGGCTGGATTCCCCAGTAGGGGGCGTGCAGGAGGAGCCGATCCATGATTCTGTCTCTCCTCTTTCCTCCCTGAAATCAATAAAAATATATTAAAACACACACACTCTCACACATATGCACGCACACACACACATGCACACAGCCTCCACCTGCCAATGCGTTGGGAGCCCCCTAACCATCCGGCCTCCACTGTAGGGTGTGCGTTCACGGGCATCCGTTTGAAACCACCTGTGTCACCAGCACAGGGCGTGCCCGGTTCCCTGCAGACAGGCTGGGTTCCTGCATTTTGATGGCCACAGAACCCCCTCACCTACCGAACACTGTGCTGGTGGAGAGGGATTGCTTGTCTCCTAAGCCATTCTCTTGCAACATCGCCTGCCTGCAGGGCAGCTTCAGATCATGGTCCCCTGCCTGTCAGATAACAGCCAGCGCTGACGGCATTCTATCTGGTGAGGAGATGCCCCCACGTTCCTCGTGGGTCACTAGGAATTACTCAGCTTCTCTGGGTCTGTGCGCCGGCCCGGTGCCCAGGGCTGACCCACACTTGTTCCAGCGCCATCGAGGGCGATCGGAAGCCGCAGGGGCGCTGCTGTCCAGCTCCTAAAGGTTGGGGATCAGACGCAGGAGATCTGGCTCGAGGCAGGCTCCGTGCCTGCCCTTTGCCAGATGCCCTTTCCTTCCCTGGCACGCTCCCCCGGGGCGTTTGGCTCTGCACCAGTGCGTGTGCTCTTCCTTGTTGTCATTGTCCACACGCCCTGGCAAGGGCTGGCCGTCCATCATGCCCGCCCGCCCTCCCTCCCTCCATGCAGAGAAGGGCTTTTGTCTGTCCCGACACACTTCCATGCCAGCTGGTGAGCGCCAGGGGCCTGCCCCGTGGTAGGTGCTTACTAAAGGTTTGTTGAATGTTTGATGCAATGTATGGGACCCGTCTTTACAAAAATACAGCAGAGCAGCCCTCGTTTGACTAGCCTGCGCTCTGCATTTCATGGAGAAGGTGTGGTTTGGCATTGGCCTTGGCCACATGCCCTCTAACGATAAAGTATCTTTACAGCCGACCCGTTAGGAATCACCGCCCGCCGCCCGTCCCAGGTGACCAGCCGCTTCGGTCAGGGCTGCCAGGCCCCAGCACGCGCTCTGTGCACCGCAGGGCGTCCCCGAGGCCAGGGCTGCTCAAACCGCCCTGGGAGGTTGTAATCACAGCTTTCCCCCGAGGACCTGAGGCAGTGCGTGTTAATAGCTCGTGACAGCACAGAGCCTTCGGAATATGTAAACTCTTTACCCACGAGAGCAAGGACTGAATTATTTTTTTATTATTATTTTTACTGGCTAACTACCCCAAAATGCAAGCCATGCATGAGTAATTCTGCAGACCAATGGGGGATGGAGGAGGAGGGATTGGGGGAAAGTTCATGAAATCGGCCACTGAGATTCCGCCCCGTGAGGTTATGGGAGAATGGGGTTTCCATGTCCTATGGGACTCCAGCACGGCAGCAGCCTGAACAAGACGGGGGAGGTTCCTCTGTCCCGCCCGTAGCCATCGGCAGGGAGTCATCCCAGGGGACTGATCCTGCCTGTTGTTCCTCTGCTCCCCCCACCCCCGCCCCCCGAGCGGTGCCCTTGACTGTGCGGCCATCCCGCATTCCAGCCTGGGCCGGGGAAGATAACGGAGCACAGACACCTCTATTTTAAGGATGTGACCTGAGCATTGCAGAGGTCACTTCTACTGCTGTCCTATTGGCCAGAATCCAGTCACGTGGCACCCCTCCACGCAGGGGGCTGGGGAGTGTCATCTGTGGCCGGGTGGCGGAAGAGACACGTGAAACCCAGGGAGCGCTATTTCTGAAAGAACAGGAGACGCGGGGGTGCGGGTGCGAGCAGGTGGTCCACAGACCAGCACGGACCACATTCATCAATGTGGTTATTGATGAATGTGGTCCGTGGTTATTATCACCAGACGCCATCCCGTGGTTATTATCACCATCCTGGCCATGTCTAGAGCAGGGTTGGCAAGGACAGGGTGTCCCTGAAGCTGTTAGCACCCCCTTGTTCCAAACGCATAGTCCCTGTACATCAAGGTTTCAGGTCGGATCCCCAGTTGGGGCATACAAAAGAGTCAACTAGTGAATGCATAAGTAAGTGGAATGACACATTTTTTTAAAATATATTTTTATTGATTTCAGAGAGGAAGGGAGAGGCAGAAGGAGACAGAAACATCAATGATGAGAGAGAATCACGGATCGGCTGCCTCCTGCCCACACTGGGGATCGAGCCCAAAACCCGGGCCTGTGCCCTGAGTGGGAATAGAACCGTGACCTCCTGGTCCAGAGGTCATGCTCAACCACTGAGCCACGCCAACCAGGCTAGAACAACAAATTGATCTTTCTCTCTCTCTTAAATTGGTTAATTGATTGGTTGATTGATTTTTTAATTGAAGATGATTGAACCTCCAGTTGGACCTGGTAGGTTTTCTCTTTCCCTGGAGATGTCGGAGCCGGCCCTTCTCTCCCTTCCCCCTTCCCCCTGCCCCCCCCAGCAGAGGGGAGGAGAAGGGACAGGAGTCCTTACTAAGGAGCGCCTTTTGGGTCACGCCCTGTGACCTCATCTACCTCCTCACGAAAATCCTCCGGAAACTCCTACCCCAAATGGGAGAGTGGAAGCTCGGCAGCTCGGTGCCCCCGCCATGCTTGCCAGCCTCGTACGGGCTCCCTTCTGTGCCCGTGGGCAGAGCTGGGGCGGGGGAAGGGAACCTCCAGACAAAAGCACAAAATATAGGTGAACCCCAGCGTCTTCCCAGTCTCCTGTGGGCGGGAAAGGAACACAGCTTCCTGGATCAGAGGAAGGGTTAGGGGTCATGGGTCAAGGGTCAACCCTGCTCAGCTGAATTCAACACCTGCTGGAGCCATACTGCCTGGGAGCCTGGGAGTCCCAGGCTGGGCTCCGTGTATCCAGCTCGGACTGCCCGCTGCTCTCCAGCCCACCCAGGGAGCTGGGAGGGGCCCACTCACCCATGGGCCCCCCTCTGCCCGGGAGGCGGCAGGAGGCTGCTCTCTGTCCCCACCGCCTGGCTCTGGCCGCCTGAGTCAGCACTGCCCACGCCTCCTCCCCCTGAAAGGTGACACCTCCTGAGGACGGGATACGGCAGTTAGGAAACCCAACCCATCGGGGAGAGAAGTGAAGGTGAGGGAGCGTCCCCCAGCCACCGCCCCCGAGAGGCCCCATGTGCAAACAATTTTAGTTTTAAGCAGGGAGGGTGTCCCCCCAAAATGTCTCCACACGCTCTGAGTAATTCTAAAGGCAGCGCTTATTGAAACACATCTCATTTTCAGAATTGACCTACCAGCTGTTAAAGTGTGTATACCCTGTATATCTAAAACTAAAATCGTTTCAATATATACCCATATGAATATGTATGTGTGTATATGTTGACTAATTACATGGATGTATATAGATACTCATAAATGTAGATAGACAGGTAGATAGATAGATAGACAGATAGATAGATAGCCAGGTAGATAAATAGATGATAGATAGATAGATAATTAGATAGATAGATAGGCAGGCAGGTAGATAGATAGATGATAGATAGATGATAGATAGGTAGACAGGTAGATAGATGATAGATAGATAGATATAGATAGATAATTAGATAGATAGATAGATAGATAGATAGATAGATAGATAGATATGTCTACACACACACACACACACACACACACACACACTTGCCTTCCTCACTACACCACACACAGCTCTCAGGAATCTGAAATCAAAACCAAGGTTTGTGCCAGGGTTTGGAGCACAAGGTCCTTCCCTGTTACATAGCGATGATTCTTGACTCCAGCTCAATAATTATAATGTTCTCAAGTGTTGACTGGCTAGAAAAAAGATCGCTCTGATTTTTTCCAAATCACTTACATGGAGACGTGGGCCAGATACACCGGTGAGCGACACACACACCCCGTTCTTTCTGTGCGACTTGAGACTGAAGAGTCTTTGTCCAAGGCATTCCTGGGTGTCACTGGGGGGTAACCCTAGTCATTGCCACGAAGACCAGGGGTCAGGGGTTAACTACTTCCCCGAGAATTCCTTTTGCCCAGACACGCGGTAACGGCCACTGACTGCTGGCCCGTCAGAGCCGGTGCCGGGAGCCCAGGGACCAGAGGTGCTGCCTGGTGCGGGCAGGGCCCCGGAGAGCGGCGCCCTCGTCCTGCCGAAGCCCTAAGATGTCCGTCCTCTCTGTTGTCAGGCTGGAAAAGGAGATCCAGGACCTGGAGAGGGCGGAGCTGCGGGTCTCGGCTCACGAAGAGGCGATTCTAAAGAAACTGAAGTCTGTGGAGAGGACGACGGAAGACATAATCAGGGTGAGCGCCGTGATCGAGCCTGAAACCCAGATTTCCCCTCCGAGCGAGTCCGAGGGCGCCCCGTGCTTTGCCGCAGACCCACACGCAGAAGCCACTTTGTCAGCCATGTTAACCTTAAAGAGCTCTCTTTTTCCCTTCCAGTCGGTGAAGGTGGAGAAGGAGGGAACGCCAGGAGGTATGTTTCTGAGCATCCTCGTCTGTGTCTCACGCAGACGTCCTCTGACAAACCCGCTGACATGACTCCGTGGCTGGCCATGGCCTCCGGGTGCATTTTGAATCCATATTCATTTTGCAGAGTCGATCGAAGACATCTACGCCAACATCCCCGACCTTCCGAAATCATACGTCCCCTCCCGGCTGAGGAAGGAGAGGGGTGACGGACTCGAAGAGGATGAACACAGCAGGAAAGGTAGAGTCAGGCCCCGCCTGCAGAGCCTTGCCATGGCACGGTAGCCACTTGCTCTGCCCTCTGTGTGCCCAGCTTAATCGACGGTCCTTTCACAGCCTCCCATGGGTGTGAGGGCACCTGCACAGGTAGGGGTGGCCGGCCGGCCGTGGCATTCAGTCCGGGCACTCTGTTCCCTAGCAACAAGGCCAGGTCGGCAGGGAGCAAGGGTGATGGGAATAAGCAGCCCTTTAAATCAAAGCTCCTCTCCTCGGAAGCATTTCTCCCACAGGATCCCGCTCCACAGACTCCCTCTCCGGTCACCAAGATCTTCTAAGATCAAAATAACACACTCCCCTGGGGCAGGCAGGTGGTGGGGAAATGAAGTTCTCTCTGCGGGCCCAGAGGGAACCTTTGCATTTTATATATATATATTTTTTTTTAATTGATTTCATAGAGGAAGGGAGAGGGAGAGAGAGAGAAGCATCAATGATGAGAGAGAATCATTGATCGGCTGTGCACACCCCGCACTGGGGATTAAGCCCACAACCTGGGCATGTGCCCTGACCGGGAATCGAACTGGTGACCTCTTGGTTCCTGGATTGACACTCAACATAAACCACGGCTCGTGAGCCACATGTGGCTCTTTGGCCCCTTGGGTGTGTCGCTTCCACAGAATACCACGGCCTGGGCGGGTCTGTTTTGAATAAGCGGCGTTAGAAGAAGCTTTAAGTTTTTTGTTTTTGTTTTTAATGTGGCTCTCCAAAGAAATGCCACTCGTTGTGCTGTTGATATGGGGCTCCGTGGACTATTGAGTTTGCCGACCGCTGGGCCAGACCGGGTCCCCTGGACACCATCGGGAGGGGCCGTCAGGCACACGGGAGGCTGAGAGAGCAGGGCGGGTCCGGGCCCGGGAGGAGGCGGGAACTGACCGGGCTCGCCTGTCCCCGCAGCGCTGTACGCCATGGAGCTCAAGGTGGAGAAGGACCTGAAGACGGGCGCGAGCACGGTGCTGTCCTCCATCCCGCTGCCCTCGGAGGGCTTCACGGGCGAGGGCGTGAAGGTGTACGACGACGGGCGCAAGTCGGTGCACGAGGTCGGCCCCGGCCCCCGGGCCGCGCTCAACGGCGCGGACGGCCTGGCGCCCGTGGAGGTGGAGGAGCTGCTGCGACAGGCGTCCGAGCGGCGCGCCCGCTCCCCGACCGAGTACCACGAGCCCGTCTACGCCAACGCCTTCTGCCGGCCGGCCACCCCGCAGCGGGAGGGCGCCGGGGAGCGGGCGCCGCAGGCCAACGGGCTGGGGGGCCACCGGGACCGCCCCGGCCCCCACGCGGACCACGGGCCGTCACCGGGGCCTCCCGACAGCCCCCCTCGGCCGACCCCTCGCCCCCGCCGGTGGGTGATTCCGCACGCAGAGCGCCAGCCGGCCGCGTGGGAGGGAGCGGACGGGACCCCGGACGGGACGCTGGACCAGCAGGCATCCCCCGTCAGGAGGCCCGGACGCCAGGGCCCTCCTCCCCCCGGGCAGGGGGCCGAGGAAGACGTGCGCTACAACATCGTCCACTCGCTGCCTCCCGCCGTGGACGGCGCGGAGCCCGTGACCATGATCTTCATGGGGTACCAGCAGGCGGACGGCCACGCGGAGGAGAGGGCCCTGGCGGGCTACGACGGCGTCATCCACGCTGAGCTGGTGGTCATCGACGAGGAGGAGGGCGAGGGCGAGGCCGGGAAGCCCGTCCCCCACGCCCGGGCGCCCCACGGCCCGGCCCACCAGCCGGCCAGGCCCACGCCCCTGCCCAGGAAGAGGGCGGAGGCCAGGCCCCCGGAGGATGCCCGCCACCCGTCCCCCCACAAGAACTCCATGTCGCCGAGAGAGCAGGAAGCTCGCCTGGGCAGCCCCGTCCGCCCGCCACTGCCACTCGCGGCTCCGGCGGCCGGGGACGGCACGGAGGACCCGTCACTCACAGGTAACACGCGTGGCAGGGCTTGCCGCTGCTGTTCGGTCATGTGACCGCCCGGTCCCCATGCTGCTGACAAACCCTCCTGCTTTCCACTAACACACGCTAAGGTGATCGCTCACCCTGATTTCATTGTCCCCTGAGATGAGGCAGTCGATTCAAAAGGTTCCAGGGAAACGGGTTGTTGTTGTTGTTTTAAATCGCCGCCCCATTTGGGCTCTGCACCGGCGGACACCAGTAACTTGACAAGCGCCTTCGGTCCGGGTGCGTGGTCCCGAGTGTGAAGGTATCTGCATCGCTAACCAGTTAGCACCTCCATGTCCGGTCTCTCCGCCCCCAACCCCGGTGCCAGCTCCTTCGCTGTGCCTCCGTGATGTCCACGCCCGGCACGAGCTAGCAAATCGCCTGGGTTTTGCAAGAAAGAACAAAGGGACCAACGTTATTCTGAGTGTGGTGCCTTATTGCTTCGCTATTCCCTTCTCTCTACTTTTCATGGCCTGGCTAACTTTCCTTCCTCGGTGTTTCTGTATTTTATATAAGATGAAGGTCAGTTTATCTCCCGGGAAAGGTGGAGGCTGGGGGTCCTACAGACAATATTTTTCAGCCAAAACTTAGAACAGCCTACGACATGACGAGAACACGCCGGCACAGTTTGTGCCTGGCTGCTGTGTCGCTGCCCAAGACGGCGGTCGCCACCCGGTGGTCCGTGGACCGCTGGTGGCCCATGAGGCCCGAAAGGCCGGCGGCCGCTGGTCTGAGATACAGCTCAGGGCCAGGCCTCCCGCCAGGGAGGGGCCCCATGTCACTGCTCTCCCCACCGGCTGTCCGGCTGGCTCTCTCTGGCATCCACCAGCTTAGACGGGGACCTCTCCTGGCTCTGCTCTCCCTCCTCTTAGAGACGTCAGTGGCGTTTCAGGATGAGGGGGTGGGGGACCTCAGCTTGGGGGATGCATATGCTACGGGTGCCCGTGAGGCCAATCTGTGGCAACTATTCGGGGTCGAGGGGTTCAGCCAGCCAGCGCTCTGAGTCTGCATCGCTGTGAGGAGGAGAGGTAGAGTCAGAGAAGAGCAGGAAGGAGAGTTGCTAGCCCGGATGGATTAGCTGTGCACCTCGGGGCCTTCCCCCTGCCCTCCTGCCCTGGCCCCACACATCGACCCACCGGCACCCACACAACCCATCGCCACAGGAGGAGAGAGAGGAATTAGCACGCTCCAACAATCGAGGAGTCTTTCCCCATGAAAGAGGAGGACCGTGAGCAATGGGACGGAATCCCACTCCCGAGGCCCTCCCCCAGCTGCGATGTCCTTTAAGAACTTCCTTGGATGTCAATGGACGCTGTGTTCGCTCCACTCATTTCCAACCTTTACAGAAAAAGGTTCCTTCTAGTCGTGAGTCTGCTTCTGCCCCGGGTTCACAGTAGCTTATTATCAATACTCTCCCTGTGTGCTCCTGAAACGATGCTCAGATTTTTTGGATAAAACTCTGACCGTGGACCAGGCCCTGCTCTCCTCTGGGGACGGGCAAGAGAGAGGTCCACGGATCCACGAGTTGAAGCAGCAGTGCCGCTCCGCCCCCAGCTCCCCTCCTGCTGACGAACGTCACGTCCTCGGGCACCGCCTCCCAGCTTCTCCCAGCAGCAGAGGCCGCTCTCTTGGCCTGATCCGGAATTCAAGGGACTACTCCTGACCCCGCCCACTAGACATGACCATTCCCGCTCAGGCCTCCAGGGAAACACTGCTCTTTTTGATTCATTCAGATGTGATCATTCCATACAAGTGAAGTGACAATAAAAGTGATCGTGGTCATGTTACCGTACTGGGTCCTACGTGTGAACAAGAGCTTCCTGCGGGAGTGGTCGTTCATCCCATCTGTGAATGACAACCAGCAATAGGTGGCTGAGCAATGAGAGAGCACGTCTTCCCTTTTCGGCTTTTCTCATTCAGTAAGATTTGGCGATCAGTTTATCCAGCTCCATCCCACAGGGCTGTCACCGCCAGCGCCTTGCAGGCCCTCCCTCCTCAGCTTTCGGAAAATGCCTCGGAGCCACTCCCCTCGGAGCCCTCACTCCGGAGGGCACGATACCAGCACATCACACGCGTCTCCTGAGTTCTAACGCGACGTTCTTAAAAATGGTCCTTAGTGGGGGCATGTGCTCGAACATGTGTATTTGGCATTTGAAAGTACTTGTCCCTTGACAACGGCATTTTCTGATTACTCCAATGTTCATTACCAGCTCCCGTGGTTTCGATATAAAAAATTTTGTTTTTGTCCCTCTCTATCCAAGGAGGGAACCCCTTGGTAGAGACAAGTTTGATGAGTTAAAAGATAATGTCACCATGAAACAGAGTTTGGGCCGATGCCTTTTTGCAATCGTGCATAGCTCAGACCTATGCACAAGACGCCGTCATAGATGGAATTCATCTATGGCCAATGGTGAGGATGTGCACTAACCCTTTAGTCACCCAACTCTGGCTGTGCTTGCTCTGCTGGCTTTTCTCATCTTTATAGTGACGGGCTCCTCCTAGTTCTGACCCTGCTTCTACCCTGAGCTAATCACAGCTTACTGTTTCCACGGTCTTTTTGTGCCGCTAAAACCATGCTCACTTTGTTGGACAAAACCACCGGAGGTATGTCTCACACTTTCCTGCATTCTATGAAATGGTCACTGAGAGCGAAAATAAAGACTCCTATGTATAACTTCTTTTTTCTTTCATTTGCAGCTCTGAGGATAAGGATGGCAAAGCTGGGGAAAAAGGTTATCTGAGAGGAGCACCGTCGACATAAACCTACTGCGGAGAAGACACTAAGGAATGTGGGCAACTTTCTCTCCCGGATATTTTCTCTTTTTCTTTGCAAACCAAAAAAAAAAAAAAAAATCACAGTTATATCCATATTAAGCCATGTGAGTAAGCCATAGCCATTATTTGTAAAAGACATTATATATATATATATATATATATATATATATATATATATATATATATATAAAACTAGGAGAACGAACACTCAACTTTTCCAGTTACTTGACATGACTCTGTGGGGGTGCAGACCAGAATATTTTTATTGTACTGATACCAAAGCATTTCTAATAAGAGCTTGTTAAATTTAAGAATAAAGTTATTTAAAATAGCCTGACTCTATTCCACTAACTGATGTTGTCATTTTGGGGACACAAATGGAAGGTCCCGGAAACGCCGGTCTCTAACCCTGGCTCCTAAAGTGCCTCCCGATCCCGGAGGCCTTAAGATGGCCGCCTCCGCCCACCGAGGGCCAAGCCGGCTGACTGGCAGAGACTTCAGCTCTTGGCGCACACCCAGCAGGCGTGTGAGGTGATCATCCTCATGTGTGGGGACAGGACTGAGATCATGCTAGTGTACATGACTTTACAGACGATCGCTGGTGTGTTTATTCTTCTTGGAATATCACCCCTTTCTGTCACTCAGTTCCACGTGAGCCCCCTGGTTCCATGACCGGGTAGCACCTAAGGCCGGTGGATGGAGGACGTCCCCTGTTCTCAGTGGACACAGATCGGGTCTCGGGCTTCGGGCGGTTGTGCACAAGACGAATCCTGCTATCGAAATGCAGTAGGAACGTGTGAGCGTGTTATGCCTAAGTATTCTTGCCGGGACGTGAACTCCTAATTTCAGTTTCTGATGCAAAACACCAACCCTCCCCCCGAAAAAAAAGGCAGGATTTTTTTCAAATGAACATCAAGTCGGTGGGCTTTAAGGGAAATACATCCATGATGTTATCTCAGACCTGAAAAGGAACCTCAGCCCAAGGAGGCAGGGACCAAGAGGTACCTTGGGATATGGCGCCACCCACCGGCTGGGAGTCCTCATAGCAGGTATAAAATCCAGCCCCAAAACAGGAAAATGACTGCAGCAGGAAGAAAACAGATGGTTCTAGCTCATTAGAGCGCCAGGAACTTCCAGCAGAGCCACCCAAGGCAAGAGAGGGACTGAGATGTGTTCACAAGGGCAAGTTTTATTTATTTATTAAATATATTTATTGATTGATTTCAGAGAGGAAGGGAGAAAGAGAGAGAAACATCAATGAGGAGAGAATCACTCATCGGCTGCCTCCTGCACACCCCCTATTGGGGATCGAGTCCACAAGCCAGGCATGTGCCCCTGGCCGGAATGGAACCTGGGACCCTTCAGTCCACAGGCTGACGCTCTATCCACTCACTGAGCCAAGCCGGCCAGGGCACAGGGTGAGTTTTATTAATTTTGAAATGTGAGTCTACCGTCTCCAAAGGCTGTCGGGTTCAAAGCTTACTGTCAAAACACCGAGCATATAAAATGCCATCGGCTCAGTTGCTGACCACATAAAGGCAGTTTTTAAGCAGAAGATGCGCCCTCGCATTTCACAGCGAGGGAAGAAATTATAACATTCATCATACATTTCAACGTTAACAAAGTCTACTGTGGAGTCAGCCCCACTTCCACCTTTACCAAGGAAACAGGATACACAGAGCAAGGGATGAGTGCCCAAAACCAGGACTGGAAAATACAGTTTCCCAAAAAGCCCTGGGGCAGTGGTCGGCAAACTGCGGCTCCCGAGCCACATGCGGCTCTTTGGCCCCTTGAGGGTGGCTCTTCCACAAAATACCACGGCCTGGGGGAGTCTACTTTGAAGAAGTGGCTTTAGAAGAAGTTTAAGTTTTAAAAATGTGGCTCTCCAAAGAAATTTCAATCTTTGTGCTGTTGATATTTAGCTCTGCGGACTAATGAGTTTGCAGACCGCTGAACTAGGGAAAAAGACCATTGAGATAAACTAATAAAAATACAGGTCCCCCCCAAAAATGGTACACACCCTTTGAATGATTACAAAGACAGTGTTTATTAAAATACATCCTTTTTTTTTTTTTACATTGAGCTACCAGCTGTTACAGTGTGTGTACATGTTCAGGGAACACCCGGTAGACGTTGTCTCAAAAAGAACCACAGAAAACTTCCAGAACCCCAATATGGCTCCTCTCCTCCCCGTTTCATTCTGACGCCATCCTTTACTTTCCAAATGTTCTTGTTTACATTCCTTAGAGCTAACATTCTTAAGCATCTCAGCATAGAAATGCTGCAGGGAGGTGGGGAGGGTAGACGGGGTCGGTGGTGATGGAAGGAGACCTGGCTTGGGGTGGTGGACACCCCAGACAGTGTACAGACTGTGTGTGGTGGAATGGCCCACCTGCAACCTGTGTCATTTCGTTAACCAGGGTCACCCCCAAACATTCAATAAAAAGGTGCAAAAAAGAGAAACATTCGAGGGTCACTTCTCCTCGGCCTTCCCTTTAGGACTCGGACCTGCACCCAAAGGCTGGACGACGCGTCCCAGGCCACAGGACCCTGAGGGCCAGCCGCCAGGACCCCGCGTGGGCCTGGCCTGGTCTCCAGTTCGGATGCCCTGCCCTCGCCCGGCGGGCGGCACGGGCCTCGTGTTCTCAGCACAGCAAGGCCGCAGCCGGCTCAGAGACGGCTGACGGCAGACAAGAAAATGACGAGAAAAGTCACGTTCCCACAGACATACACGGCTAGCACCGCCTTCTTAAAGCCGTGGCCCTGAAAGGAAAGCGCACAGGTGAGAGGACGGAACCGCCAGCGTGAAGGCTTTTGTTGATCCAATATAACAAAAGCCTAATATGCTAAGTGTCTAGTCGTCTGATCGGCCAGTCAACCAATCAAAGCATAATGTGCTAATGATATGTTAAGGCCGCTCAACCAGTTGCTATGACGTGCGCTGACCACCAGGGGGCAGACGCTCCAAGCAGTAGGTCAGCTTGCTGCTGGGGTCCAGCCGATTGGGACTGAGCAAGATAGGCTGGACACGCCCTGGAGCCCTCCCACAGTCCCTCCCCTGCTGGCCAACCTCCCATGTCCCTCCCTGATCCCGATTGTGCACCGGTGGGGTCCCTTGGCCCAGCCTGCGCCCTCTCGCAATCTGGACTGAGGGACCCCCATCCCCCGCCGAGTGCACGAATTTCGTACACCAGGCCTCTAGTAAAACTATAAACAAGAAGGACTTACTTCTTCTGCCTCAGCCATGGTAAAGGGCTGCATAATCTGAATTCTAGTGTCATCCAGTATTTCAACTGCCAAGAGCAAAAACATGTGTTGGTAAGGCACGTGGGCGTGCAGGCGAACACTCACACAGTGAAGCCTGATGGGTAGGGTTTTCAGAGACCGTTCTCCCATTTCTGGCTCCCAGGACATTCCAAACGTCCCCAGCAGGAAGGCTCTCACACCAGGATGGGCACTTAAACATGATCTCTTTTCCAGGCAATGCCAAGCAGATCAAACCCCGAACAATACAAGTGTTGAGGACACGCGGTGGGAGGGGGTTGGGGGTGTTGGGGGCTCTGCGGCGGGTACCTTTGCGTGAGAGGCGGTAAGAGTGCACCTCCAGCAGCACCTCGGTCCCCACGTGCCAGGCGACGAAGCCCAGCATGGTGTAGGTCTTCCACGGGCCGGGCAGGGCCAGCGCCGGCAGGTCCGTCCCCAGGAACATCGCGGCCACTGCGAGCGGAGGAAACAGCGACACGCGTGTTCAGCGCAGGAGCCAGAGAGGCCGCGTCTGCATGCACGCACGGGGCACCTTGGAGAGACACGCTCGGCGCCCCTGGGACGCTATCTCAGGCCCAACAGCGGCTCCGCGGTCCCTGGTCTCGGGTGAGACCGACGAGAAGGGCAGGTGAGAAAGTGTGATCCACTGAGCGGCGTCTCAGGCTGCGGGTGGAAGGGCGGCGAGTGCGGAAACCAGGGCGGCTGCACCCCCCTTTCCACCAGGAGCCTCACGGACCGCGGAACTGGGGGGAGGAGGCAGCGTAGGTCCTTGTTACTAAGGCAGCAGAGCCCGGGAGAGTCAGGCCCCACTCTGCAAACCGCCTCGGGACAGGGGCCATCCCCGGGAAGGGCCTGGAGACAGAGGCCTGGGCACCCCCGCCAGGTACAGCGCAGCCAGCCGGCTCACGAGGACCCTCCCCGGGAGCTCCTCACGCAGTGGCTGCAGCAGCGCTTATCCCGCTGGCAAAGGCAAAAGCTAAAATAAAGAAAGTCTTAAAGGAAAGCTTTAGCATCATTTTAAAAACCCCAAGCTTAAAACTGAAATAATGAACTCAAATAGCTATTCTCGAGAAATTGCTTTCTGGATTTCAATGGTTAAGGCCGATTTCTCCACAACCACCAATGACTCGGATGACCGACGCACTGAAAACGCCTTCACGCCCAATGACAACCTGCATCGTGGGCAACGGGCAATCATATACCAACGCCGGCACCACGGCCACGTACCTGCCACAATCCTGGCCACGGTCCCCAGCCCCCAGTGAGTCCAGTTGAACAGCTGCCTCCTGCCACAAGAAAGAAGTGAAAGTGTCCATAAAAGGGACAAAAGGACAGGGAAACCCCAGAGAACCCCCTATTGCCTCGGAATGAGGCCTCTGAAATCTACGTAAAGCTCTTAAGTAAATAGAATGTATCACTGAATTTCATAAAACGCAGAGCGCTTCCACGTGCGGAGGGCAGTGTAGACAGGCTGCGGTACCTGGGGTCGTTCAGAGCTGGCCTCAGGACTGCCAGCAGCAGCTGCAGGACCGCCAGCACCAGCACCACACAGCCGAGGTAGGGGTGGTAACCTGCGTGCTGAGCAGAGGGACCCCACGTTAGTGCTCTCACTCCCGCCCTCGGTTCAAACACATAAATTTAAATAAGTTAGAAATAAAAACATCTATGCGTTCTTCGTGCTTCCCTGTAGCTTTAAACGTTGGATGGTGGTGATGACAATAGGGATGTTGATGACAGTGATGGAGGTGATGATGGTGATGACGGTAACGGGGATGTTGATTATGGTGGCAGAGATGGTGATGATGTGATAATGGTGATGGTGAGGAAGAGGATGATGATGGTGATAGTGATGGTGGTGGTGGTGATGATGATGATGTCCATGATGGTGTGATAATGGTGGTGGTGGTGAGGAGGAGGAGGATAGTGATGGTGATGGTGATGGTGATGGTGATGGTGGTGGTGGTGGTGATGGTGGTGGTGATGGTGATGGTGGTGGTGGTGGTGATGGTGGTGGTGATGGTGATGGTGATGGTGGTGGTGGTGGTGATGGTGATGATGACAGTGACAGTGATGTTGGCAATGATGACAGTGATAGTGATGGTGATGGTGATGGTGGTGGTGGTGGTGATGGTGATGGTGATGGTGGTGGTGATGGTGGTGGTGATGGTGATGATACAGTGATGGTGGTGATGATGGTGATGGTGATGGTGATGGTGGTGATATTTTGATGGTGGCGGTGGTGATAACAATGATAGTGATGACAGGCACCAATCCCTGAGTGTCTCCTCCACACCAGGCACACACTGCACACGCTCAGGCTCCACGCTTGGTTCTGAATAACCCACTCTTAAAAAATGGGGGAACTGAGGATCAGAGACGCCAGCAACGTGTCTAAGGACGTGTGGTGGTGTCACCCACGCACAGAAATGCCGTTTGCCCATCTGAGGATAAACGCAGTCTCCCTGACGCTCTCAATTTAACAAACACAGGAGCGGGTACTCACGCTGCTCCAGCCTCGCCGGTAGAGGAAGGGCAGGACGAAGGCGATGCAGGTGAGGACGGAGGTGAGGAGCATGAGCGCCCGGTGCACCTGCGGGGAAGGGACAGGGAGAGGGGTGACCGGTGCCGGAGGAAGGACTCGGCGTCACCGCGGGGCCAAGATCACGGGTGAGACTCCCCGAAGGGACGCTTTTGACGGACACCTGACATGCAACACACGGAAGACAAGGCGTGTTCTGCTTTGTGTTGAGGGAACTGACCAGCTCTCGCCTCCGGATCCCGGACAAAGGGCGACGTGAAAAGAAACGCTTCTAGCTCCCCTCCCCCCACAGAGGAGGCAGGTGGGGAGCGAGGGGGAGAGGGTCTGACGCGGATGGGCGCAGCACCCAGAGGACAGACCCCTGTGGACATGCAGGAAGCAGCCACCACTGCCCTCTCTGCCTTCCTTGCCCATCTGTGCCCGGGACAGCTGGCCATGCCGGCCAGAGTCCTGCCGGTCCCTAGGTCTATGTCACACAGAGGCTCACGGCCCTGGCACCGCCTCCACCCGACCCGGCCCCTGCCTCAGGCCGCCCTGCCGTGACCTCTGTCTGGGACCTTGTGTCTGTTCTCACCTGGTCAGGAAACCAAAGGGCAAGAAGAAGACATTGTCAGGGTCCCAAACCACAACAACAATGACACCCACACACAAAAGAAGGGGGAGAAAACCACAGAGTTCATGTGTTTTCATGCGGCAACATACCAACAGCACGGAAACCGCATGAACCTTTCTCCCCTGCCTACCTGAAACCAGGCGGCTTCGCCAAACAGAGGCCTGGACAGGACGGGCTTGAAGAAGCGGGCAACGATGACGCCCACACTGACCGTGGTCATCCAGCCCACGAGCATCAGGGCCCCTGCGGGGAGAGGGGGCGGTGGTGGCCTCACCAGCTGACCCCTGTCCTGCAGAGACCCGGCCGAGAAACGGAACCGCCAGCCAAGGGCCACCAGCTAGCAGAGCTCACCAAACACGCCGCCTATCACAGCACCACTGCCACCGCGACTGCTTCTGCCAGCTGGCGCTTCCCCAGCCCTACTGTGTGCAGACGCGGCCTCTGAGAGCTCCCATGTGCAAACCTAACGGATCTGTGCAACAACCCTCGGAAGTGACTACAATTCTCATCATTCCAGCTTTGCCGGGTGGGGAAACGAAGGCACAGAGAGGTCATGTAAGCCTGCCCAGGGGACGGCGTGGGGATTCGAGCCCAACCTGGCTTGAGCAGCTGTCCTCTTTTTTTTTAATAAATTCTTTTTTATTGATTTTTTACAGAGGAAGGGAGACGAGTATAGAGTTAGAAACATCGATCAGCTGCCTCCTGCACTCCCCCCACCACCACTAGGGATGTGCCCAGAATCGAACCTGGGACCCTTGAGTCTGTGGGCCGACGCTCCATCCACTGAGCCACACCGGTCAGAGCTGTGCTCTTAACCATTGTGCTAACCATTGGAGCCGTCTCACCTCTCACCCCAAAAACCAGTGAAAAACAAATAGGTGGCCAGCCAGTGGCTCCGGTGATTGGAGCACTGAAAGGCTGCAGATTCAATTGCTGGTCAGGGCACAGGCCTGGGGAGTAGGGGGAGCATGCAGGAGGCAGCTCAATAGTTCTCTCACATTGATGTTTCTATGTCTCTCCCTCTCTCTCTTTTTCTCTCCCTAGAATCAATAAAAACATATTTAAAAATATAATATTTTTTAAATGTTTTTTTACAGGAAAGTAAATACTGCTACCTCACACAGAGATTTCTAAGAAGCTGCTAACTTCTGTTCGCCACGATTCCTACCCCGGCCAGCACAGAGCCTGCCCCGGCCAGCACCCCCGCATGCCCCAGCCAGCACCCCACCTGCCCTGGCCAGCACCCAGCCTGCCCGGCCAAAACCCCGCCTGCCCCGGCCAGCACCCAGCCTGTCTGACCAGCACAGAGCCTGCCCTGGCCAGCACTCCCCCCCTCGCCTCCCGCCTGCCCGGCCAGCACGAGCCACCAGGCGGTTACAGGAGGAGTGATGGTGCAGCGCACACAGTAGCCGCTCACCGTGAGCCCTCAGCAAGGGCTGGGCCTGAGATGCTCCCACGTCCTGCGGGTCACCTGTCACGTCATGTTTTTCGTATGTAATCAGAGGCTGCTGGGAGTGTCTATAAATTTTACCTGAAATTATAAAAAAAAGCAGAAGGAAAAAAAAAAGACGAAGAAGAATTACCGCCTCAGAAGAGAAGGAATGAAAAGACTGTGTCATGACCTGGAAACAAAACTTCTTAAAGAATAAAAAACAAATATCAACAGAGATGCCATTCCCCTGCAAAAGCAACCCAAACACAGGTGCAGGGTCACATGACCTTATTGGGGGGGGGGGGGGAGCGGGAATTAAAGAAATCATTTAGCCAAGCAAGACATGAGGCTGGGAAGGTGGGAGTCACAGTGAGACACCCACAGCCAATGTTCCATCCAAATAATTAGCGTTCATAGGACCACAAATGGTTGAAAATGGCAAGGGAAATTCTTGAAAGAGAACACATGTGAAAAATAATCTAGAATTCTAGATTAAGCCGACAGAAACTGGGCCAGAGAAAGACAAACACACTTGGATGCTCCATTATGTGGCCTTGACCAATTGGGCCTGGGTGTGACTAACAAACCAACATCTCAAAGAAAAGTGATGTGAACAGTGTGAGAATGGGTTATCATATTACTGTTCATTACGCATAAATTTAAGTCTGTGAATGTAGAGTTATCCCTGTTAGTTTGTATACGTGAGTATAGACATGTGTGAATTCCTATATTCTGAGAATCTACCTTACAGAAATACCCTTGACGCAAAGATAGATAGATAGATACACAAGAATGTTCACAGAAACTTTTTCATGCCAGCCAAAAAAAGTGTAAACAAGCTAAATGGTCATTATTAGGAGAATCAGTAACTAAATTATGGAGCATAGATTATTTTTAGAATATAATGTGTGTCAAAAAGAATAAAAATAATTAAATTTTGATATTATATATATATTTCTTTGGCCCAAACCAAAGTACATATTAGACCACAGACTACAGGGCAATGATTTCCAAAAAGATGTAACTCTATAGGAAACCAGCTTTATCATCTAACCAAAATGCAACAAAACCAAAACTTAGCAATAAAAAGCAGAAGAGCCATGGTCCCCTCGATATGTATAAAATGACTTTTCTCGCTCCCCCAGTTTCTCACTTCTGGCCCAGATGCTGCTCACCAGCCAGAAACCCGCTTTCCTCGTGAGCAGGTGGCCTGATAGCATCGCTGACCCTGCCTTTGCCTCGTGTCTGGGGAAACCAAGCTCAAAGGCCAACCCTGGTCAAAAGGGAAGGCAAGCGGGAAGAGGGTTTTGATAACTCATTGCGCACAAGTGTACACATTTTTAAATGGGGGGAAGGGAGACGAGCGAGGAGAAAGAAACCTTGAAAAGATGGTTTTCATCGATACCCAGCACTCACCATCCTCGGCCGCTCCCGTTGCTAGAAAGATGTAGTAGCTGGTGTTTAGGTCAAACCTGCTCTTCACCCCGGGAAGGGCGATGTCTCTCCGGAAAGAACACTGCATCCCGTCGTCCTGCAGCCGCCAGGCCACTCCCTCCAGGGTGTCCTACGAGCACACAGGGTCTCGTCGGCTAAAAACACGCTGTGTCCGCAGTCCCGCCCGCCCACGCTCCTCTCTCCGCGGCCCTCCGTGCACGCCGGCTCTGGCCGGCCTTGTGTCTCCGCTTCCCCTTCAAAGAGCACAGCCAGCGCCATCTCCCCTTTTGTCCTCATCTCACTGGCAAACATATTGCTTTTACTCTGAATCAGAAGCCCCACATTCCTCTCCCCGGGAGAGAAGCTTTGGCAGACATTGAAGACGCCATCTGGCCATAACACACAATCAAACACATTGGACAAGCAATAGCAAGTCGCCCTAGCCGGGTTGGCTCGGTGGATAGAGCAGCGGCCTGCAGATTGAAGGTTCCCAGGTTCGATTCCCGGGCAGGGCACAGACCTGGGTTGCAGGCTTGATCCCTAGTAGGGGGCGTCCAGGAGGCAGCCGGTCCATGATTCTCTCTCCTCATTGAGGTTTCTATCTCTCGCTCCCTTTCCCTTCCTCTCTCTCTAAAAGAAAATCAATAAGGACGTTTTTTTAAAACATATCGTGTTGCCCTAACTGGTTTGGTTCAGTGGATAGAGCGTCGGTCTGTGAACTAAAAGGTCCCAGGTTTGATTCTGGTTAAGAGCATGTACATTGGTTGCGGGCACAGCCCCAGTAGGGGGTGTGCAGGAGGCAGCTGATCAATGTTTCTCTCTCATTGATGTTTCTAACTTTCTATTCTGCTCCCTTCCTCTCTTAAAAAATTAATAAAATATATATATTAAAAAAAAACATCGTGTTGCACACCTTAGATACATATAAACTTTATTAAATATATATATGTGTGTAGCTAGTAAAAAAAAAAAAAAAATAAGGGAACGTGCAGAAAAGCTTTCCCAGAGTGTGATGAGAGAGGAACCCTGCTCAGGGCCCACCAATTGGGGGTCCGAGGCCACCCTGCCACACAGACAGGCCCCTGTGAGCCGCGTGGCCAGAGGGGGGCGGGCCAGGCAGAGGCTCCCCGAACTTGGACACTCACCCAGGAGTCCAGGACAGGGTGGCTCCGCCCAGTCAGATGGGCAGGTCGGATGCTCACGGCCTGGTTGTCATGGATACACAGGTAAGCATCGTCATCGCCCTAGAGGATGATGGGAAAGGAGGAGAGTATGAAGGAAGTCCAGCTGTGTGTTTTAAGTCCTTAATAAAAATCAAATAGTATTTGGTGTTCTTGAAACATTTGGTGTTCACTGGAAGCCTTCAATGATACCATGGCTGTCCAATTTACGAATCAATATGATTTTGTTATTCTATGAAAGCAATACAATTTCATTATAAAAAAAAAAAACAGACTAAAATAGACATGACGTGTTTATATATGCCCATAAACCCATCCCCGATTGAACGCCACAGTTAAAGCTTTCATATACTTTCATCCAAATCTATTTATATTTATACCTGTCTTTTTTTTTCCCTCTCCAAATAGAAAAATGCATAGTTTTGTTACCTGTTTTAATGTATCATGAATATGATTCTGGATAGTTGTTTGTAAAGATATATCTGGGTCTTGAACATTGTCATGACTGTAAATGCACTCTATTGGTTTGGGGGAGTAGCTTTCAAGATGGAAGATACAGTAATCAAATATTGGGACTATTGTACACATTCCACGTCCAATAGGTTACGTCCTGAGGCCAACATGTCTCTGCTCAGGGAGGCATTCTTTGCCAGCCCGATGCTCATGGGTCCTGTCATCTCGAATATTCCTTACACTCGGGATCTCATGTCAATCACCACCAAAGGGCAGGCTGCATCTTCCAGGCACGTGGTATCGTCGGAAGGTACGAGCGAGTCTTGTAGGCTTTACGTTCTGTGTGTGGTTTTGGTTCTGTCTCCCATTCTGAATTGTTCCCTAGCCCAGTGGTTCTCTCCTTCCTGACGCTGCGACCCTTTCATACAGCTCCTCGTGTGGTGGTGACTCCCAACCATAACATTCTTTTCCCTGCTGCTTCATAACTGTGGCTTTGTTACTGTTAATGAATCGTAACGTAAATATCTGTGTTTCCCGATGGTCTTAGGCAACGCTGCTCGCGGTTCTCACCCGACCCACCTAAGACCGTGGGAAAACACAGATATCTGCGTTACGATTCATAACGGTAGCAAACCGGCCCCCCTTCCCGCCCTCCCTCAGTGCATGTGACTCTGGAACAAACAGCTGGCCCGCCCAGCGTGGAGCTCACCCCGGGCCAACGTCACCCCGCGGACGCCGTGCGAGCTACCCACCATCCACCTGTCGTGGGACAAGGCGAAGGACAGGTAGCCTTGGCTGGGGCCGCTCAGCTCCACCGTCACCGACCGGCCGTCCGGCGTGAAGGACAGGAAGAGGCAGGCGCGCTCCGCCGCTGGGTCGCAGGCCGCGGGGCTCCGCACGCAGAACTTGCTGCTCCCGCAGCCCGCGGCACTGAACTGGGGAGAGGACGGGGCGGGGCCCCGAAATCAGACCAGCAGCTCACCCCCAAAGGCAGGAGACCCCCCTCCCGGTGCCCAACGAGACCCCCTTTTCAGAGCAGGACCCTCCGGCCCCGCGGCTCACAGTGGCCCGTCAGGGTGGCCAGGTGGCCTCGAACCCGAAACTGGTGGGGCCTGAGCAGGGGCCTCGCCACAGGGTTCCTCTCTCCTAACGCTCTGGGAGAGCTCTTCTGCACTTTTCTCTGGTGGTTATTATTTATTATTATTTATTATTATTCTTTCACTCGCTATACGTAGAGCTGGACAGTAAGGGGGCAGGGGGCAGGGCTTTAATTAGAAATGGCCGGGGCAGTCCTTCGAAAGGTCGTGCACTTGTCAACGTCATCGGTTTTAATGAGCGTTTGGGAGGCACGGCCCTGGACTGTAATTTGCTCGGTATTGAAGTCCCTTTCATGCACACAATAGTTCCCGTCAGCGACGTTCCCAGAGAAGTCCGGGGAACGCTGAGAAACTTCTCAGGGAATCTGACCCACAGTGAGTGCTGCCTGCAGGTGTCCTCCCGCTTCCCGGGGTGGGATTGTGAGAGCAAGCAAGGAAACCCTGTGCAAAACTGTGTGTTTAGAGCCTGGGCTCTGCTTCTGGCATGCGGTTCCGATCTGATGTTGAAATAATATAAGCGCCCTGGCCAGTGGGGCTCAGTTGGTTGAGCATCGTCCCGGGCACAGCGGTCGCTGGTTCGATTCCCGGTCAGGGCACAGGCCCGGGTGGCACGCTCCATCCCAGTCACCGGCAGGCCCTAACGCTGCAGCGAGCACCTCCCTCGGGGTCTGCCTGTGGCCACCGCCCCTCAGGGCCCGAGCGCGGAACCCCAGCTCCCAAGGAGGGGCCCCTGGACTGCGTCTGGGCACCACAGGAGGCCACTCACTGGCTCGGAGAGAACGGAGGCGGCAGGCGAGGCTGGCGAAGGCGCAGGGGTCGCCGCGGGCGTGGAGAGCGGCGGGGCCTTGGGCTGGGAGATGACCGGACTGGGAATCCTCACCCAGTAGCTCTTGTACTTCTCCACCACCGTGGCCCTGGGACGCAGAACCGGGGTCAGCCAGAGCCCAACGGGCCCACGGGGGTCAAAGGAATTCAGGAGGGACACACGACTCAGGAGTGCCTACCAGATCTCTGATGGCTCTCTCTCCCCACCCCTCCCTCCTCTTCTCTCCCCCTCCTCTTCCCTTCCTCTCCTCCTCCTCCTCCTCTCTCCCTACCTCCTCTCCCTCCTTCATCTTTCTCCTTCTCCTCCTCCTTCCCCCTCCCCCTCCTCTTCCTCCTCCTCCTCCCTCCCCCCCACATGCCAAGACTGCACCACCCTTATGCTCGGTCAGAGGCAGGGCAGCGGCCCCAGGGCGGGAGGCTGCTTGGCCGCAGAGGCCACCGCCAGCTGAGCGGTGACCTCCCGCGTCCACACAGCACACACTCCGAGGCCGAGCCCGCGACTGCGCGCCGGGACCTCGAGCCCAGGCGGCGGGGAGGACGGAAGCGTGTCAGGGGCACTTCCCCCCGAAAGCCAGGCCCGTCACGCCACTCAGGACCCGGCCACGCTACAGCAGGGTGACCTTCTAGGAGGTTCCGGGACCCGCGCTCCGACCACCCAACCTGCGCGTGTCCCGCTGCACCACCCGCCGGGGCTGGGGTGGGGTTTCCATCCTCACCCCACGTCCACGGGGTCCCGGCCCGGCTCCCCGCACACTCAGGGCTGCGAGGGCTCCCGTCCGAGTGGAGGCGGGCGAAGCCGCGTCCACGCACCCCATGCCCGCGCAGGGCCCCTCGGGGGCAGCCCCGTGCCAGGCACCGGGCATCGCTCACTCGTGGGAAAACCAACACACAGGCCCGGGCGTGGCCAGGGGCTGAGCATCCACCTCGGAACCTGGAGGTCACGGTTCCATCCCCGGTCAGGGCGAGCAGGAGGCAGATGATCCATGATTCTCTCTCAACATGGATGTTTTTCTCTCTCTCTCCCTCTAAAATCAACACAAACATATATTTATTTTTTTAAAAGAAGAAAGAGCCGAAACCAATGTGGCTCAGTGGATAGAGTATTGGCCTGGGGACTGGAAGGTCCCAGGTTCGATTCCGGTCAAGGGCAGGTACCTTGGTTGCGGGCACATCCGCAGTAGGGGGTGTGCAGGAGGCAGCTGATCGATGATTCTCTCTCATCGATGTTTCTAACTCTCTATCCCTCTCTCTTCCTCTCTGTGGAAAGTCAATAAAATGTAATAAAAATTAAAAAAGAAGAAAGAAAAGAAGGAAGGAAGGAAGGAAGGGAGGGAGGGAGGGAGGGAAGGAGGGAGAGAGAGAGAGAGAGAGAGAGAGAGAAGCCAAACAGCTGCTTACACACTAAGGTGGTGCTGTCACCCGCCACCCCCCCCAATACACACACACACACACACACACACACACACACACACGGAGAGCCCGCCGATGGGTGCAGTGCAGGCACCACGGCAGGGCCTGTACTCACAGGAACTGCACGTGGTTCGGGGCGCTGCGGGGGGCGTCCCAGAGGGCCCTCACGGCGGTCTTCTTGTGCGCACTGGTGTGGCTCACGGCGGACCCCTGGACAGATGCGGGAGCTCAGTCAGCCCGAAGGCCAGCAGCCGGCCAGCTCAGTGCGCGTGGCCGGGGCCTCGTGAGACGGTCTCACTTAGGACAGGGCCTCGTCCCCGGCAGCCGGGGGACTGGGAAGGAGGCCTGCCGCTGGCTGTGTGGATCAGTCCCGTCCGCAGAAACGCCGGAGCTAAGGAGCGCCCGGCCGTGGGCCAACCTATGAACCAGGAGGTCAAGGTCTGATTCCCAGTCCAGGGCACAGGCCCAGGTTGCAGGCTCCATCCCCTGTCGGGGACGTGCAGGAGGCAGCCAATCCGTGATTCTCTCTCATCATGGATGTTTCTCTCTCTCCCTTCCTCTCTCTGAAATCAATAAAAACATATTTAAAAAAAAAAAAAAAGGAACTAAAGAGAGTTATGAATACTGGGTGTGATTTGCTTGTTATTCATTTATACCAGTGGTCGGCAAACTCATTCGCCCACAGAGCCAAATATCAACAGGACAATTGAAATTTCTTTTGAGAGCCACATTTTTTTAACTTAAACTTCTTCAAAATAGACTGGCCCAGGCCGTGGCATTTTGTGGAAGAGCCACACCCAAGGAGCCAAAGAGCTGCTTGTGGCTCGTGAGCCGCAGTTTGCGGACCACGGATTTATATTGTAAATGAATATTCCTTCCATTCATGCATACAGCTAGTACACAGAAGACTCATCCAAAGAAAAAATATTCCCGCCTCCAAACAGGCAGTGATTATATTTGCGTGATGCCTGCCTCTCAGTCTTTCCTCCCCCTCCCTCACCGGCAGGGGCCCTGGGGCCCAGCTTCGGGGCTCAGTCCTCCAGGCAGCTCTCTCCCCACCCCTCGGCACCTACGTCATCGCACCGTCCTACTCACGTGTCTGTCCCACATCCATGTCCTACCCATGTCCCATGTCCCATGTCCACATGCTTTACTCATGTCCACGGCTATGAGCTCTCTGAGATAATACATGTTCACTAAACGAATGAGTGAGTGACAAGAGTTGAAATCTCGTTCCTCTCTAGAACTCTGCCTCCAACGTTGACACCTTCCAAAGTCAACCTACTGAGAGTCAGCAGTCCCTGGCATATCAGGAGTCATTCACTGCTCAAGCTCTCCTTCCTTTCCCAGGATGCTCACGTGCAAAGTAGATGCCAGTAGTAAAATGGGAGGGGAGGGGGGTGGCAGGGGGGTGGCTGGGCATCGATGCAGACGTTTGCATTCCCTGGGGGATGCCACTTATCTTGCACGCGCCACCCTGCTGGGAAAGGCCCGTGGGAACAGACAGACATCGGTCTCAGGCCAGACACACACCTCTTTACCCCCGCAGGCCAGCAGCTGGGACACCTCTTTGTCGATCAGCGTGAAGGAGCCCACGGGGGCGCCGCCCGGGTCCTCGGCATCCCGGGCCTCCAGGAGGAAGCCCTTGAACTCCGGCCCCGACACAGCCACTGCGCGCAGACGGAGAGAGACAGACAGGGGAGGTTCGGCAATGCCCGAGGGACGGCGAGAGGAGGCGCCGCAGGGTCCAGACGGCCGCTCACACACAGAGTCCCCGGGAGAGGACACGGCGGCAACGTCCCCGCACACAGCTCCGGACCGGGCCGCCCGGCCGTCCCTGCCAGACCTGGCACCGCCATCCGGGGCAGAGGTGGCCACACGGGCCATCCCTGCCAGACCTGGCACTGCCAGGTCGCGAGCAGACCTGGTACTGCCGTCCGCAGGCAGACCTGGTACTGCCATCCGCGGGCAGTCCTGGTGCTGCCGTCCTTGGGCAGACCTGGTGCCCGCCGTCCGTGGGCAGAGGTGGCCACAGTCCGGCCCCTGAGGCCAAACGAGCTTGGGAAACGCTGGATGAGCAATCCAGGTCCCTCACTGCGGATCCTGGGCCCGTTACCGCCCCCGCACGGCGTGGAGGCGGGGGCCGGACACAGGCATGTGAAGCGTGCTTCCCGCCTGCCCCTCAGTCAGAGTGCGGACGATGGCTTTTCTGCAGCCGCAGGAAGTGGATCTGCAGGAGGCCGGGCGAGACCCGCCTTCACCAGCCAGCCCGCACTCTGCCGAGGAACAGGGACCATAAAAGCCGACACTATGCCAAGAAAGTGAGCCCTCGCCGGTGTGGCTCAGTGGATAGAGCACCAGCCTGCGGACTGAAGGGTCCCGGGTTCGATTCCGGTCAAGGGCACAGGCCCAGGTTGTGGGCTCGATCCCCAGGAGGGGGTGTGCGGGAGGCAGCCGATCCATGATCCTCTCCCATCATTGATGTTTCTCTCTCTCTCTCTCTCTCTCTCTCTCTCTCTCTCTCTCTCTCCCTCTTTCTGCAATTAAGAAAAATACATTTAAAAAAAAAAAAGAGAGAGAGAAGGTTTTGATAAAAAGGAAAGAGAGGGATAAGGGTGTATGATAAATCAAACCAGATAAAGCAAGCTTTAAGCTCCTTTTCTGTGGCGTTCATATATTGTCCATGAACACACAGTAACAGGAGGAGCACACGCCTGGAAGCCAACCCTGAGAGGGGAGCTGACATACTACGTAGGTCACAGCCGTCACAGCAGCTGCACACAGACGGGAGAGCGGGTGGAGATGGTGGAGGTACAGAGTGGAGATGGCGGAGGTACAGAGTGGAGATGGTGGAGGTACAGAGAGGAGATGATGGAGGTACAGAGTAAAGGTGGTGGAGGTACAGAGCTGTCACAGCGGCCGAACACAGACGGGGGCGTGGGGTGGAGATGGCGGCGTCCAAACAGGTGCCGGGACCCCCCTGGGCTGGGACGCCACAGCGGCAGGAGAGCGGCCTGTGGACGGGAACCCCGGGCGCGCGGTACCTTCGATCTGGTCCCCCGGCGAGAAGGTCGTCCGGGCCACCGCCACGCTGTGTTTGGGGTCGGGGCTCGGGGGGTGGCCGTGCCGGGGCACCATGTCCCCGCAGGACTCGGTCACGCGGCCGTTGGGAAAGGCCGCCGCCAGGCCGAGGCGCAGCAGGAGCAGGAGGGCCGCGGGGCGGCCGGGAGCCGCCATCTGCAGGGGGGGAGGGAGAGGAGCGTCACTTCCAGAGGCAGCGAGAGGAGCATCTCCGCCCTCACCGCGGCCAGGAGAGCAGAGAGCCCCGGCTTCCAGCAGGCAGCTGGCCGGGCCTCAGCGCCCGGCCCTCCACGCCCGGCCCTCCACGCCCGGCCCTCCATGCCCAGCAGGGAGGAAGGCCATGGGTGGTGTCTCCACCGGCTGGAAACTCAGCTCCATCACCGACAAGGACAGGGAGACGGTGAGCAAAGCCCCCGAGAGCCTCACGGCCCCCGGCATCCTGCCCGCGGTGTGTGACTCAGTGACAGGACGAAGACAGCTGGGAGTCTGACCGGGAACGACCGACTCGTCCAATAAAACCAGAGGCTTGGCCCTGGCCGGTGTGGCTCAGTGGATAGAGCGTCGGCCTGCGGACTGAGGGGTCCCAGGTTCGATTCCCGTCAGGGCACAGGCCCGGGTTGCGGGCTCGATCCCCAGTAAGGGGCGGGCTTGCAGGAGGCAGCCGATCCATGATTCTCTCTCGTCACGGATGTTTCTGTCTCTACCCCCTCTTCCTTCCTCTCTGACATCAATAAAAAATAAAATGAAATAAACCCTCGTCAGAGGATTTAAAAATAATAGTTTAATTTAAAAACAACCACCAGCCGAAACAGGTTTGGCTCAATGGATAGAGCGTCGGCTTGGGGACTGAAAAGTCCCGGGTTCGAGTCCGGTCAAGGGTATGTACCTTGGTTGTGGGCACATCCCCAGAAGGGGGTGTGCAAGAGGCAGCTGATCGATGATTCTCTCTCATCGATGTTTCTAACTCTCTATCTCTCTCCCTTCCTCTCTGTACAAAATTAATAAAATATATTAAAAAAAAGAAAAAGAAAAAAAGAAATATTTAAGGCAGTGGTTCCCAACCTTTAAAAAAAAAAAAAAAAAAAAAAAAAAACCACCAGAGGCTCTATTCCGCGTCGCCCTGGAAAGCTTAGCATGTGCACAAGATGCTGCCGAACGTAAAGGCCGCCCCTGACCGCACTGGCCACTCCTGCGATCCCTTGCTGACCCGGATGGCACGGGGGTTGGGGGGGAGGACAATTAATGTGCCATCTGGGAAAGGGAGGGCCACAGACCGTCCGGTGCAGGAGGCCGTCCGTCTGTTCCCTGCAGCCCCGAGGCCTGGGATTGGGAAGCGCCATTGTCAGCTGGTATTTTTTTCTCCTGGCACCAGGGTTAGGCGCCTCCGGCCAGGCCATCGGCCCCACAGGCCCCGGCTGCTTCCCGTCAGCCCTGCCCTCCGCCGCCCCAAACCTGCCTGGGCACGTCTGACCCAAACCCGAAAACCAGCCCAGGCTGGGGCGGGCGGGCTGAGGTGAGTCACCTGGTGGTGAGCAAGGCAGCACGTGGGCAGCTGCGGACCGGAAGAGCCCACAGAGCAGCTCATTCTCCGTAAAAGTGGAGTTTCCGCTTGGCCCGGATAGCTCAGGGGTGGAGCATCAATCCAGGAACCAGGAGGTCAGGGTTCGATTCCCGGTCCAGCCCTGGGTTGCAGGCACTATCCCCAATGGGGGGCGTGCAGGAGGAAGCCGATCCTTAATTCTCTCTCAGCATTGATGTTTCTCTCTCTCTCCCTCTCCCTTCCTCTCTGAAGTCAATAAAAATACATTTTTTAATGGCGTTTCCTCCATCATCGATCCGTTACAGACAAAATAAAAGCACTCTCAGAATCATTAGCATAAATTAGCCTTTCCTCGTCATGAAGGAAAAGCCATGCAAATTTCAGACCAACCCCCACCGTAGAGCGGAGGCGACACGCAGGAGCCCTGCCCGGCCCCACAACCGAGGGCCGCACACGTGGCCCAGCCCCGCGCCCCACACCGCGGTCAGCGCCGGTCCCGCGCCCTCTGTACCCCCTCCTGGCTCACAGCCACGCCGGGGGGGCCCCCGCAGGATGAGCTGGAGGCACAGTGAGGCCTCCACCTTTGAGAACATCAGAGGTGAGCACGGATTTCCCCGGGGGCTCGGAGGAGGAGCCCAATTCCGAAAACAGTCCCTCACGGCAGGAAGCGACCTTTAAGACATTCACGGCAGGAGCGAGGGCCGGCCTGCGAGGCTCCCTGCTCAGCCGGTTCTGGCCCCTCGGCCGGACAGGCTGCCTCAGGACCCGGTCATCCTTCCCCCAGGCGGCCATGGGCCGGCCCCACAGAACTAAAGGCAGGGACGGGCCCGCGCCCAGGCCCGGGTGGGCAAACGGCGGCTCTCGAGCCACAGGCGGCTCTTTGGCCCCTTGAGGGTGGCTCTTCCACAAAACACCACGGCCTGGGCGAGTCTGTGTTGAAGAAGTGGCGTTAGAAGAAGTTTACGTTTAAAAAATCTGGCTCTCCAAAGAAATGTCCCTCGTTGTCCAGTTGGTATTTGGCTCTGCGGACGGATGAGTTTGCCGACCACGGGTCTAGAGAGTGACCCCGTAGGAGGGGCGGGTCCCGTCTCGCAGACAGTCCCTGGGCGCTGGCTTCTGTGAGGGTGGCACCAGGCTGGCCCTGCGCGCTCTGCTGTGCACGAAGGAGCTGAGCACCACCCGTCAGTCAGGGGACCCCCGGCCCGGTTTCCTCATTTGCAGAGCCCAGGCCGAGGCCGGACTGAGGCAGGGCCGCCTCCCGCCCCCCAGGATGGTCGCAGGAGGGCACAGGGCACAGGCTGGGGACCGAGAGGGGAAAGCACAAGACGGGAAGGGAAGTGACTCAGAGGCGCCCGCCTGCCGGTCACTAGGAAAATAGGACCTGTCCTAGCTGGTGTGGCTCAGTGGAAGGGTCCCAGGTTGGATTCCGGTCAAGGGCACAGGCCCAGGTTGTGGGCTCGATCCCCAGTAGGGGGCGTGCAGGAGGCAGCCGATCCATGATCCTCTCTCATCATTAATGTTTCTCTCTCTCTCTCTCTTTTTCCTTCCTCTCTGATATCAATTTTTTTTTTAAATAAAAAGAAAGAAAATATGTCAATGTCAGCGAGGGAAGAAACAAGAGGGAGTCCCTGGCTCATGTCCAAGGCCGGTGATGCTTCAGGCGACTATCGCAGGAACACGCTTCCGTCATACAAACACATTCACTGCACTGGCCAGCCTGTGCCGGGATCACACGCGGGAGAGGGGCCAGGAGTCACGCGTGGAAGCATGTGCTAAGCCACGGGGTGTGGAGGGTGAGCGGCGAGCGAGAGGCGCCCTCACAGCCAGGGTCCCCTCTTCAGGGCGGAGGAGGCTTTTGGGGCGAGACCTGCCCTGACTCCACTCCCTGCTCTTTCCCTTCGGGGCGGAGAGGATATTGGGGACCGGCACCGGCGATCAGAACTCTGAGTCCCGCTCTGCTAGCCAGGTGGTCCTGTTAGGTTAGAGCCATGGCCGGCACACTCATCAGTCCACAGAGCCAAATATCAACAGCACAACGAGTGGCATTCCTTTTAAGAGCCACATTTTTCAAAATAGACTCGCCCAGGCCGTGGTATTTTGTGGAAGAGCCACAGGCAAGGGGCCAAAGAGCCGCATGTGGCTCGAGAGCCGCAGTTTGCCGACCACGGACCTGAACCACGTAAGTCCCCTCCTTGGGTTGTAACGTCTGAGACAAGGTGGGAACTGCCTTCTCCGGAGCACTCCCAACCCCGCAGGTCCAGTTTGGCTCCGGCACACTCACACGAATCCTTCGCAGGTTTGGACATTTCTTACAGCGACCAGAGGCCCCGGGTTCGAATCCTATCAAGGGCACATCCCTCGGTTCCGGCTCCGCCCTGGCCCGGGCCCTGGTCAGGACGCATGCAGGAGGCAACCCATCGATGTGTCTCTCTCACATCCCTGATCCTCTCGGCCTCTCCCTCTCCCTCCCGCTCTCCCGAGAAACCGATGGAGAGACACCCTTGGGGAGGATTCACGAGATGGACTGAAATCTCGCCCAACCCCACGCCCACGGGACCTCTCTCCTCTCAGAGCGACCCCCACCCCCTTTCCGCTGATGGAAACCCACCCGCTGTCCCCCCGCAGGGGAGGGGCGGGCCTGTGGGCGGGTCCCCGGAGGCGCCTGTCCTGTGACGCCTGGCCCGCAGCCAGCAGCCCCGGGGAACGGCGCCGTGTCCGCCTGCCTGGCCTCGTCCCTTCTCACAAAACCGTCCAGAACGTCCCGACCAGCCAGCTCCCGATGTCAACACACCAGCAGGCCCGGTCTGGTCCCGCCCTGCCCCCCAGGCAGCTCCCTCCCTCCACCTTCTAATTCCCAGGAAGAGAAAACCCTGAATGGGGAATGTTAGCTTAGGAAAGAATACTCCCGAGAGCACGTTTACCGACGGAAACACCCCCACTGACCCTGGGACAGCGTGGCCCGATGCAAAAAAATAAAATAAAATAAGGGCAGAGGTCACAGCCGCCCCAGAGCAGGGGCGGGAGGGGGCTGGAATCCCTACCTGACAGACACTCACACACACAGGTGAGGCCCGGGGAGGGTGTCCTCGGAGTGCATGGGAGCGTCCCCGTGGTTTAAAAGGTGACACCACGCCACGTGGGGAGAGTCCCTGCTGGGCAGGCTCCCTCGGCTCCCTCAGCCTTTCCTGGGACCCAGCTCGAGGGGCAGAGTCCCCGGGGGGGGGGGGGGAAGGGGGGGACCGGGGACCGGGATCGGACCGGCTCGGCGTCCGTGGTCCGGAGGGGCTCGGACCTCCAGGCGGGCTCCGGTCTGGAGGCGGTTTTCCCCGAATCGCCCTCCCGGGTCCTCGCGGCCCCGCCCGCTGGGCCATCCCCGACTGAGATCAAGTTCAACAAACATTTACACACCTTTGCGGGAGCCGGGCTGGACGGGGAGGGAAAGACGCCCTTACCTCGGGGACGGAGCGGCGGCTTCCGGCTCGGCTACAACTGGGATCGCGTTGCAGCCGGTGGGTGGGGCCAGCGGCTCCCGGTCGGACGGGGAACTGCTCCCCGGCCCGCCCAGCCGCCGAGCCCCTGCTGCCCAGCCCCGGCTGCAAGACCGCGGCGCCCCTTC